TGTGGCCAACTGTCGACCGCTTTTCAATTTATTGATTTCATTCTTGAGGAGTGCAATGCAGTCGTGCTCTCCATTCATGGCATTCAAAGGCAGATCACATTTGGCGCACAATCCAAACGGACAGCTCTTCTCGTGATCGGCCAGTAGTCCGCACTCAACGATCTGTTGACAGCCATTGGCCGCGAAATTGCAGCGAATTTTCAGTTTACTGATCACTGAATTGATCCGAAGATTTTCTTTGGGTTCTTGGGATTCACCCCAACCGCTGTCAATGTACGTCTCGTGTCGACACTCCGGGCAAACCAATCGCCCACCAGATCCAGTGGCAGAAGTGATGCATGTCTTGCAGAAAGTGTGGCGACAGCTCAGGTCCACCGCGTTGTTCAACACTTCCAGACATATACTGCACGACAACTCTTTGGCCAACCATTCCTCGAGACCAACGAATCTGTGGACATCGAGTCCGGGCATCTCTTTAATCGATTTCAAAGATTTTATTAACAAAAACACTTGTTTTTCATTCAAAGAGATTTCGTTTGGTTTACGAAATGTTTAATAAAAAGTGACAAAAATATTGCTCAAAAATATTTGGGGAAAATGTTTTAATTACCTTAATTAAAAAAACTGATAAAACTTTATTTCATAATTTTATAATTAATTAATTAAATAATGCGATTCTAATTTAATTTGTAAATAAAATAACTGTGTTTTACTCTAATTGATAGATAAGTTATGCATCAATTAATTAAACAACTTTTCACTTATTAGTCAAAAATCATAACTAATTTAAATAATAAACACAAAAATAGAAAACAATTATAAATTAAAAATAAATCACTTTTCAAAACTATCGATGAAATTATATTCAAAATTTGTGATTTATATTAAATTATAATTCAAGAAAATTTAAGATTTTATTGATTAAAAATAAATGTTTATTGTTTTTCAATAAAATTATGTGCAAAAAAATGTTATGAAAAGTAATATTAAAATATTGTTAATTATAATGATTTACATGTCATTCATATTAATATTGATTAAAACACGATTAATATTTAATGAAAAAACCAAGAAATCAATGATTAGTTAAAAAAGCAATTAGTGATTATAAAGAGGCAAAACAAAATCAATGGTAACATCATTGCCATCAGGCTTTTGCTTCGGGAGTTATCAATTGGTTTGATATCATCGAAATGGTTGTTCACAACAGTTCCAGTAAAGCCATAATTGGTGTCAAAACTGCCAATGCCTACTTAAATCCCAACCCATTTCCGGCAAATCTGGACATTTCCACCGACTCTTTAGTCACTAAAGTCTTGTTCAATGGTCTGACCGCTCGCGGCGTCGAGTTTGTCAAAAATGGTCGCACATATCGTGTCAATACCAGACGTGAAGTCATTGTCAGCGCCGGTAATGTGTCCATCACTTTGTTGCACAACATGTTATAACTTGTATATAACGGGGTTTTGTAGGAGCGGTGAACACACCTCAGCTACTGATGCTGTCGGGCGTCGGCCCAAGAGATCAATTGACAGCGTTTGGCATACCTGTGGTCGCGGATCTGCCGGTTGGCCACAATCTTCAGAATCACGCGGCGCTCGACATTAACTTCTTGATCAAAGACCAGTTCAACCATTTGGTGAATAGCGGCGACTCTGATCTCAATGTGGATAAGCTGTACGAGTATTTCGTTAATAATACGGGAGAGTTAACCAAATATTACAACTCAATCACATATTTGAACACTAAATCCAACGTTAATCCGGACTTTCCAAACGTGGCCTTCGAGACAGCGCTCCTGAAGTACCCGAAAGATCCTTCAAAAGTATAAATCAATGACTTAATCAGTTATTAACGGATCAAATAAAGTGATACTTGACATACAGGTAACAGTTGTGGAGTTCGAGCCTCTGAAAGACGAGTGGAACCGCTATTACAGCGACTATTTGGACAAAAACTACTTCTTCGTGCAGCCAATCCTGGAAAGGGTCCGCAGTTATGGCTACGTTCGGCTTCAGTCCAGCGATCCGTCTGTTTATCCCATAATTAACTCAAACTTCTTATCACATCCGCTGGACTTCGAGGACTTCGTCGACATAACAAAGTTTGTGTTTCGCTTCTTCGAGAAGTCGGGCATCTCTTCGTACGTGAAACGAGCGAAACCAATACCTGGCTGTCGGATGTGTCCAGGAGTCCGGTTCACTCATGAGTGCGATTCGTACATACGGTGTCTCATCCGACAGATCACATACACGGGCTATCATTTGGTGGGCACGTGTCGTATGGGCGCCGCCGACAGAGCGGACACTGTTGTGGATCCGCGACTTCGGGTGAAAGGTGTGCGCGGATTGAGAGTATGCGACGCCTCTGTTATGCCGACCATTACTAACGGCAACACAAATGCGCCCACAATTATGATCGGCGAGAAGTGCGCGGATCTCATCAAACAAGACAACGCACTCCCGATGAAGGGCTGAAGAGTGTATCGATGGTGTATTGTATTGTTTAGTGTTATTTTTAATACACTTAAATTAAATTTAAGTTTAAATCATTTTTGGATCATTAGTTGTATTTGTTTGGAATCATTAATAAATTATAAAAAGTATTAAAAACTTTAAAAGTTTTAATACTTTTTAATTTTGGACACAAGAATTAAGGAAACATTTTTGTTCATGTATTTGATGCCATTTAAAGGGAAATTAAGACATTCTCAACAATTAAGTGATTGAATGGATAATTAATTTAATTTAGAAGTAAAATAATTAAATTATAATTAATTTAAAATAAATTTATTAATTAAATCACTATTGAAATTGAAATATTAAATCAATAGAAATGTGTTAAAAATAATTATTAAAACATTATTAATGACAACATTTTCCCCAAAGTTTAGTCACATTTTGGTAAGCATTGCGTCAATGAAATAAAGTCTAGTCTTTGAGTTAAAAGCAATTGATTTTTGTAATCAAACAAAAAGTTTGTTTAAAATCTGTTTTAAAAGACTAAGAAATGCCGGGAATCGATAGCAACAGATTTGTCGGTCTCGAAGAATGGTTGTCCGAAGAGTTAACATGTTTCGTATGTCTGGAAGTGTTGGACAACGCGGTGGACATTGAGTGCGGACACACTTTCTGCAAGAGTTGCGTCACTTCTGCCATAGAAGAGAAAAACCGTTTTGTTTGTCCGGAGTGTCGACACGAGTCCACAATCGCCGCCAATGAAGACAATGAATGGCAACTGAAGACAAGCCGTCGGGTAAACAATTTGATCAGCAAATTGTGGGTCAAATGCGATTTCGCGGACAAAGGATGCACTCAAGTGGTTGAATGGGGTCTACTGTCCACTCATCTGAAGAACTGTCCATTTAATCACTGCTCTAATTGTGGCCTCAGTTTTGGTGACAAACAGGAGATCCAACGCTTGAAGACACAGAACTTAATACTGACCGATAAATGCCGTCAATTGGTTGGACAGCACAATGAGATGGAAGTCGGGATCGGCTTTGACACCACTGGCTCTGGAACTGTTGTGAACAACCATTTCGATGATATCAAACCAATTGATAACTCCCGAAGCAAAGGCCTGATGGCAATGATGTTGCCATTGATTTTGTTTGGTCTCATAATAATTACTAATTGTTTCTTTAATTGATTTATTGGTTTTTTCCATTAAATATTAATCGTTTTTAAATCAATATTAATATGAATGACATGTAAATCATTATAATTATTAATTAACAATATTTAAATATTACTGTTACTTTTCATAACATTTTTTGCACATCTTTTTATTGAAAAACAATAAACATTTATTTTTAATCAATAATAAAATCTTTTAATTATCTTAAATTATAAATTATAATTGAAAATAAATGATAAATTTTGAATATAATTTCATCTATAGTTTTGAAACCCGATTTATTATTCAATTTATAAAATTTATTCAATTTATTATTCAATTTTATTTGTTTTGTATTTAAATTAGTTATAATTTTTTACTAAAAAAATTAAATGAAAGATTGTTTAATTAATTGATGCATAACTTATCTATCAATTAGAGTAAAACACTGTTATTTTATTTACAAATTCAATTAGAATCGCATTATTTAATTAATTAATTATAAAATTATGAAATAAAGTTTTATCAGTTTTTTAAAATTAATTAAAACATTTTCCCCAAATATTTTTGACAATTTTTTGTCACTTTTATTAAACATTTCGTAAACCAAACGAAATCTCTTTGAATGAAAAACACGTGTTTTTCAATAAAATCTTTTTGTTTGAAATCAATTTCAGAGATCTATTGAAGAGATGCCGGGAATCGCTGTCAACAGATTCGTTGGTCTCGAGGAATGGTTGGCTAAAGAGTTGTCGTGTGGTATATGTCTGAATGTGTTGGACAACGCGGTGGACCTGCAATGTCGCCATACTTTCTGCAAGACATGCATCACTAGTGCAGAAGAGTTTGCCACTAGATATGGCGGCAAATTTTTTTGTCCAGAGTGTAGACACGAAGTGGTGAACAACGGTTGGGATGGACAGCAACCTAAAGAAAATCTTCGGATGAATTCAGTGATCAGTAAACTGAAAATTCGCTGCAATTTCGCGTACAATGGCTGTCAAGTGGTCGTTGAGTGCGGACTACTCGCCGATCACGCGAAGACGTGTCCGTTTGCATTGTGTCCCAAATGTGATCTGCCTTTGAATGCCATGAATGGAGATCACGATTGCATTGCACTCCTCAAGAATGCTAACAAAGACCTGAAGAATGAAATCAATAAATTGAAAAACAGGCGACATTTGCCAACAGATGTGACCGCAGATGAAGACAACTGGAGGTCAGACCGTGCGGACCAAAGTTGGAGAGTTGAGCGCAACGACTGGAGGCGTGGGCGCGGACGCGGAGGTTTGGCGCGCCGTTGAGTGACTGATTTGCGCTCATCAATGAATATTCAACACTAATTTCAATCACAAACTACTTATTGAAAAACAATGTCTTTAATTAATGTTTGCTTTAATTATTTTTATTATAATTTTGATTCAAAAATAATCTTTTCATTTGATTTATAGCAATAATACTGTATAACTTGACATTTACTTAATTATAATTGACAATAATTTCGATAAAACTTTTCATTATATTTTTGTATTTCTTGTATTTCGATATAAAAACAGTTAATTCAATAAACATTCGTTAATTTAAATAACAAAATATAAAAATAAATCTTTACTTGAAATGTGATTTGAAATAAATTTTGATTGTAATTTAATCCATACTTTAAAATATAATTTAATATTCAATTTATATTTAAAGTTGTGTTTAAAATACTATTGATTTTCTATAGATTTTGCGAATACAATATTTGTTCAATTATTTAACAGTAATTAGCATTTAACGGGAAGTGATGACAATCGCAGCGATTAAGTGATTTGATTGGAAATTTATATGAATTGTAAAATATCTAAAACACGAGTACAGTATTTATAATTTAATTTTAACCCAAAATGCATTTTATTAATCAAATCAATAGATTTATCCCAAAAATGCTTTATTCAATAAATGACAACATTTTCCCTATAGTTTTGTCACATTTGTTATAAGCATTTCGTAAATGAAGTGAAATCTTTGTCTTTGAATGAAAAACACGTTTTTTTTATTAACAAAAGAATTATTTTCAAAGATCTGTTGAAGAGATGCCGGGAATCGCTGTCAACAGATTCGTTAATCTCGAGGAATGGTTAGCCAAAGAGTTGTCGTGCAGTATATGTGATAATGTATTGAATAACGCGGTGGACATGAAATGCGGCCACACTTTCTGCAAGAGTTGTATCACTTCTATGATCAAATCCAACCGTCAATTGGTTTGTCCCGAGTGTGAACCCGAAGACATACTTGGCTTAAACAATTCAAGACAATGGGAACTGAAAGTAAATTTTCGGATCAATCGTATGATCAGCAGACTTATGATTGGATGCGATTTCGCCGCCAATGGCTGTCAACACGCGGTTGAGTACAGATTACTGGCCGACCATCTGAAGGACTGTCCCTTTAGACTGTGTCCCAAATGTGATCTCTTTATGGGCGCCAATAGTAAAGATCACGATTGCATTGCACTCCTGAAGAATGCTAACAAAGACCTGAAGAATTCAAACATTATCCTAAAGAATGTAATCAATGAATTCAAGAGACAAAAGACATGCGATGGCAGATGTGGTCACAAATGAAGACAATTATTTGAAACAAAGTTAAACAACATTTAATAATTCATACATTACTTAATTAATGCTTTAATTACTATATTTTAATTATAATACAACAATCGTTTTGTATAATCAATAGTTATATTATTACTCGACATTTAACTGTATTTTAATTAAAAATAATTTTTATATAACTTTTTAATAAAATTTTGTTTGTATTAAATTATTTCAATAAAAATAAACATGGTGTAATTCAATTGCTTTTTTAAATAATAAAGTTTTTAATCAAAATAAAACAAGTCTTAATGAATTAAATATGAATTAAATTTTGACCAATTTTCAAATTAATATTTTATATCAATTATTATTTAAATTAAAAATTATTCATTTATGACAAAGTTTTGTTATCAAAATATTTATTTAATTATTTGATATTTGAAAACAAATATAATTAAATTCTTGACAAATAAGTGATTTGATTGGATATTCATTTAAATTGTAAAGTTAGACTAAATAAAATGTGCTATAAAAATAAATAAATAATGCTAAAACATTAAGCCTTAAGCATTAGGTCTAATGTTTACTCAAATAAGTAATAAAATATATTTATTTTGAGTGTAATTTGAAATCATCGGAGGGTTAAGTGAAGCATTCAAACATTGGTCCCATTAATGACTGATTTTATAAACTAAATCAAAACTTGTCTTTCAGTTCAAAACATTTGTTAACCTAAAAATTGTGTTAAAAATTTATTTCAGAGATAACTATCGGAGATCGGGAAGAGATGTCGGGAATCGCTGTCAATAGGTTCGTTGGTCTCACGGAATTGTTGGCCAAAGAGTTGTCGTGTGGTATATGTCTGGATGTGTTGAACAACGCGGTGGACATCAAATGCGGGCACACTTTTTGTAAGGCATGTATCACTTCAGTCATTAAAGCCAATCAGCGATTGGTTTGTCCAGAATGTGGTCCAGAAGTGGTTTTCAACACCAATAAGACCAACGAATGGAAACTGAGGACAAACTTTCGGATCAATCGTTTGATCAGTAGATTCACCATTAAATGTGATTTCGCTACCAATGGCTGTCAACACACCGTTGAATACGGATTACTCGCTGACCATCTGAAGGACTGTCCGTTCAGACTGTGTCCCAAATGTGATCTCTTTATGGGCGCCAATAGTAAAGATCACAACTGTATTCAACTCCTGAAGAATGAGAACCTGATTCTCAAGGATATGATCAACGAATTCAAGAGACAAAAGACATTCGATGGTA